GTAACAGCGTCACTCTTATTAGGAAGCTGGTATTCTCAGCAAGTTAAAGTTTAATAAAGAAACGTAATAAACAGACATGGAGAGTTGAAGTTTAAAAGCTGGAGTGGTCAAGTTAAACTCAAATAACCTGATACATCTTTACCACTCTGGGCTCAGTCTACATCATCACTCATTCAAAGCACATTCGCTCCTCATTTCTAACATCTGTGAAGTCAGGGTACTTTAAAAGGTTTCCTTGGCGGTAGCCATTGTGATTAAGTTGTCGGCGGGTGCCACCTGCTGGTGGGATCTGGAAAGCACCAGCATCTTAACTGGCGGGATTGGTTCAGAAGTTGGTGTCAGGGACTGGGGGGCTGTGATAGGCCTGACCATGTTTTTGTTTAGAGGAATTTTGACTTTGGTACTTTGGGTTATGAAAGCAGTGGAATGTTTTAATTGCTGCTTAATGGGCCTTACTAGTGGGAGCATGAAAGACAGTGGTGCTGAGTTATTTGAAGCGTTGGGGGCTCACTCAAGAAGTTCCAGAGAAAATGTTAGTATGTGGCCTAGAGACTGGTCTTGTAATATTTTGGTGAGGAAACCGGCTGATTTTGCTCTTGTCTGAAGAGTCTGTTTGAGGCTAAAGTGAAGAGTTTTGGATTAATTCCATTGGCAGAAGAAATCTCATAACAGCCTAGTGGAGACTCTGTCGAGTAGTTATCAGTGGTAACTCTAATGAGGATTTATAGTGAAAAAGAGCAAGCTGAGCAGGGTTAAGTTACAAAATGTAAATTTTGAGGAGAAAAGGGGCAGAAGGAAGTGGAATGGAGCTAAGTCCTGTGTTCAAGGAGATAAATGAATTAAAAAACGGAAATAAAGGGAGCGGTGACCTCTGGGCAAGATCCCATCCAGCTAGGTTTCCAACTTGTGGAAAGAAACTAAAGAAAAACTTAGATTGGGGTTATGGGGTGCGGTGGGGCACACCTTTAGTACCAGCACTGGGAAGGCTGGCAGATCTCTGAGTTTGAGGCCAACCTGATCTAGAGATCCAGTTTCAGGACAGCCAAGCTTAGGCAGTAAAGGAAACCATGGAAAACAGAAAGCTGGTGAAGATATAATTGAACTAGCGGGCCGTGTTCCAGGCCCAGAAAACAGAACTTGGGAGCTTCAGCCACATGGTTCTGGCTTTAGAGTTAAGGATAAAAGAAATGGGTTATGGAATTTGCCTCCACGCCTAGCCTGATAGAGAGGCCATTGCATGAAGCTGTGAAGTTGAAGCCTGGATTGCCTTGGAGACCCCAAGATGTTGGAGATGCCAGAGCTGTGGGATACCTGCTGAGGAGAGCTGCTAACAGGGAGTGGAACCAGCCCACGAGAAAGAAGTGTGTTGCAGTCAACAAAGCTGAATGGAGTTGGAGATCTGAAGAACATTTTGACATCAGACATGGAGATGCAGAGTTTGGAGTTTGCCCAGCTGTTTTTCAGTCTTGGTTTGGTCCAGTATTTCTTCCCCATGCTCCCTTCCCTGCATTTTGGAATGGTAAAGTATATCCTGGGCCATTATATGTTGGAAGTATGTGATCTGCCTTTTTATTTTGATTTTTACAGGTGATTACAGTGAAGAGATTGCATGAATCTCAGAAGAGATTTTGGCATTTTTAAACATTGTTGAGACTGTGATAGACTAGGAGAACATGTGAAGTTGGACTAAATGAATTTTGCATTATGATATTGTTACAAGCTTATGGGGGCCAGGGAGTGGAATGTGGTGGTCTGAATGTAATTGGCCCCCATCATAGGTAGTAACACTATTAGGAGGTGTGGCCTTGTTGGAGTGGGTGTGGCCTTGCTGGAGGAAGTGTGTCACTGTAGGGGAGGGCTTTAAGGTTTCCTATGCTCAGGATACTGCCCAGTGTCTCAGTTGACTTCCTCTTGCCTGAAAGCTGTAGGACTCTCAGCTACCTCTCCAGTATCACATCTACCTACATGCTGCCATGATCCCCACCATGATGATAATGGACTGAACCTCTGAAACTGTAAGCAAGCCACCCCAATTAAAAGTTTTCTTTTATAAGAGCTGCTGTGGTCATGGTGTCTCTTCACAGCAATAAAAACCCTAAGACAGAGCTACTCAATCAAAGGACACTTTAAGAATATTGTACCCAGTTCCTTTCACTTGCTTTCCTTCAAATGTATGCACGAGAAGGATAAACAAGAACTCATGCCTGGCTAGCCAAGCAATCTCTTCTAAATGAGGAAAGCAGAACCAGGAGCACGCAAGCTCAGAACCATGTTGACCTGCAGCATCTGTTCTCTTCTCCCAAGGCACGGACACTTGCTCTGCTCTGGAGCAAGCACAGCTCCAGGAAGAAACACAGTTAACATCCCCAGAGAGCAGCCCTCACCCATGGGAGCCAGGAATGGGGAACCCCAAACCCAGGCTCCCATCTGTGGGTGGGCTACACTGGAGGGTGTCTGCACTATCCAGTGATTGTCTTTCTTACCCTCCAGCCTGGTCCTCAATCTTCCGCACTCCCTCCCTGACTTCCTCTCTCAGCCTTCTCTTCTACAGCCTGGGGATTCCTCCCAATCACAGCACCCAAGTGCTGGCTCAGGCCCTACCTTTGCGCAGATCAAAACTAAGACTTGGGTAGCCCTCCAGCTACAACATATTCTTACAGACACAGGACAGTCAAGCTTTCCCATGTGAGTTTCCATTTGTGATGTGATCCATGAGCCACCATCTTTAAAAAATAAACTTCTAGTATAGCTTTTTCCTTAACTAGGAAGCCAACAGAGAGCCCTACATATCCTATCCAATATCTTGACTGATATAATTTCTCAATATTGGCAGTTATAGATTTTCGGAAGGACCACGGAGGTAAGATGCCCTTTTCATCACATCATGAAGCAGGCCCCATTGTTACCCTGGCTTGGCATGGATTTTGACCTTTGCCCCTGCAACCTCCCACCTCCACTGCACTTTGGAAACCACCCGTTAAGAGTGCCTTAGGGGTTAAGAAACTACATTAAGCTACTTGGGGGTTCTTCATGCGGCTCGCTCCCTTCCTCCCCTCTGTACTCAGTCATTTATCAGCATGGTTCAGCTATGATGTCAGCTTTACTGCGTTGCTCCAGAGACCTGTCCAGCAACATACGCCCATCACTGTAGTCTGGGTATTCTTTCCCTGTTGTCTAGTGTAATGGCAAGACCCTCCAGACTCATCTGCATCTCTTGCTGTGCAATTAGATGAACCCTGTGTTTAAGAAGCAAGTTTCTGGGCTAAGGAGATGGCTCAGTGGTCAACAGGGCTTTCTGCTCTTGCAGAGGACATGGGTTTGGTCCTCAGCACCCACACAGCAGCTCATAACTGCCCATAACTCCAGTTCCAGAGGATCCCATGACCTCTGTGGGCTTGCTCCTGCACCCCTGTGATGCGCATAAACTCACACAGGCAGGCACACATACGCTTAAGTAAAAAGGGTAAATTAAATTTTTTTTTTTAAAAAAATGAAAAACGAACCAAGTCTCGTCACCTCTGTCACATCTAAACGTAAGAAAGGTGGCAGAGGGGCATGGCAAATGCCATGGGCACATCCCCCGGAATCAGCTGAACTGCAGACACTGGCAGCTTAGACTCCAATCACAATCCCAGTTTTGGATGATGATGATGATGATGCCGGTGTCTGCAGCAAGTGCAGACAGATGCTGAACAGCTACTTAGGGCCAGCACCGTGTTAGCAGGCGGAGCTAACTGGCCAAGGCCACAGGCACCAGAGCTGTTGCTGTGTACCAATCCCTGGTACCACTGTATCCATCAGTCAACAAGGTCGTTATCTGGCACGGAGGAGGCAGTGGTCTCATTTAGCTCAACGTGATACAGTGACTGTTAGCATTAGGTCCCGCTTGGGCTCCTCAGAAGCGCCAAGCCTGCAGCTCCCCACCACTGCGCACACTGCCTGCGTCTGGGTACAGCCCAGATGTAGTGTAAAAATTAGTGTAAAAAAAATCAGTCTCTAAGGCAGTGGTTCCCAACCCTCCTAATGCTGCGACCCTTTATTACAGTTCCTCATGCTGTGAAGACCCCAACCATAAAATGATTTCATTGCTACTTCATACCTGTAATTTTGCTGTGACGAATCATAATGTAAATATCTGCTATGCAGGATATCGGAAATGAGACCCCCCCCTCAAAGGAGTCGTGACCCACAGGTTGAGAATTCAGTCACTATGGAGAGTCTAAGGCAGCAGCGCTCGGACAAGCCACGCTGGGTCTTTACAAGTGAAAACACTCCTGAGATTGCTCCAACCTTGCCATTAAAACTTCACGAGCACCTCTGCCACTAACCACCTCAAAAGGTGTGCTTTAATTCAGCAGCGTGGGCTCTCACCTAACAGAAAACAAGACCTTCTCACATACAAAGTGGGTCCCTGCTCACTCTCGGTCTTTGAATTACCCACAAAAAATAAAATGTACAATATAATCTGAACAAACTCTGTTCTTAGACTCTTATCTCTAAGATTGTAAGCCTTATTTCCAGAAAGCAAATCTAACCAGGACCTGATAGTCAAAATAAAGCTTCTATCTTTTTAGGTATCTTGACTTCGCTTTTATGACAGGGTCTTGGTGGTGTAGCCTTGGCTAGCTTGGAACTTTGTAAACTAGGCTGGCCTGAACAAGACCTGCTTGCCCCAGCCCCTCAGTACTGGGGTTAAAGGTGTACGCCACCACCACAAAGAATAGCTGGCATCTTAACAGCCTGAGATACACATTAGCTTAATTAGAAGAAAGACTTCACTGAAAACAAACACGGCAATAAGTTGATATCTGTCAGCTAATTTGATAAAAACAGTATTTGTCTCAAAAATATTTTCAGCCATTTCTTAAAACAGGACACACATTAAGATTTTTCCCCCACTTGGAGATTATTCCTATATATATTTTAGCTGATAGTTCTTTTGCTAGCTTTATAAAATGAAAATAAAACAGTATAGCTATAAAGCTTCTCATTTTTTGCAATTATTCTTTAAACAGTTAATTTATTCACATTATTAACAAACAAACAAAAAAAAACAACTCCATATTCTTTTCTACACAGTTGCATGTCAAAAAATACTAAACAGTTTCATGGTTTGCTGAAATACATGTAGGAAGACAGATATTTGGCATAAAGCTTGTTTAAATTTTTCTTAAAGAAACATTATTAATTTAAAAAGAGTTCCAAGGAATTTAATAAAATTTCCAGCGATGATTTCTGAATGTATAAAATTTAAATAATTATAAAAAGGTTAAAAACCA